CCCCCCGATGAACTGCCCATGTCTCTGTCTCACACCGTACCCCAACCACACTCCCTCCCTCACCGTGGGGGCCTCAGTCAGTCACACCCTTCTCTCCTCCATGCCTCCTCCCCGCCCCCCAGACTTACCGGCTGGATGCTGCTCTCCAAACTGCTGGACTGCATTCCTGGCCACGCACATGCTGCGGCTGCATGCACGCACACATTTATCAGTGACATTAAAAATCGGCCACATCAGCCAAAAAAAGCTGACTGCGATTAATGTCAATTTTCCTTTTATCAGTACCTAAATTATATGGACCAATATATCGGTGTGCCTCCAATTTGAAGGTTTAAGTCTTCCAATTACGCAGTTGATCCAATAAAAGTTATTACTCAAATTCTTGCCTCTTGCATAACTCATGGACCATCACAATTATACTATCACTTTAACACTACCGTATAAATCTAGGGAGCTTAAGGCAAACTCTACTCCACAACAGCAGTGTACTGTCAGGCTGGTCTATTACACAGCATTTAAAATCTCTCACTTGGATCAATTCTTAGCTCTGCTTTCAGTGTATGAAGCTGCTGACCAATCTGCTCAGCGGTACATTGATCTTCTCAACATGATGAAAGCTGAGAACAAGCACCTGTTAAACAGAACTGGCACCAATTCATTCCCCCTCCTCAGAGTTATTGCAGCATCCAATATTAGAGATGCACCGCTCCAGCTGTACCCTGGGCAAACTCATTGGATGTCTGACACCTCTGACTTCCCTATATTTGTTGAAACTAAATGCAGGCAGAATCATTCCTGGCATATCTTCAATTACTTGGTTCTTAGCTTTCATCCTGTATTTTACTGAAAAATATCGGTTCTGAATGATAGAGTTCCTACTCTTGTGAACTTTCAGTTTATCAGCACTGCAGGCCCCAGGGATGTTCAGCTCTCTGAACAAAGGCACCTGCTTGCAGACATGCTAAGCGTTATGAGTCTTACCAGGTCCTCAGAGGCTCGTGCTTGTGCTCTTCGGAAAAGCTCTAGGTCATATTCACTGGTCAGGTTTTCCAACAGGGGTTCCCTGGTGTTGCCATACGTTTGCCTATGTTCCTAAAATAATGACATATTAGGACCTTAGAGGGAAGAGGGAGGGAGGAAAGTGGAGGGAAGGAGGAAGAAGAAAAACAAAATCTACACCAACATAAGGCTGTTGGTTTTTACAGCCTTGTTAGCTCAGCAGCCCATTGACTTGTTTCATTCCAGATGAAAGGAAACTAAAGTAAATGGTCCTATACCATGTACTTCTCTTTCTGCTCCTTGCTCAGTCCAGAATTCCTTTTCTTCCTCAGCTCTGCTACTTTCTCTTTGTATCGTAGCTGTCTCTCTGTTGGTGCCTGGAAAAAACAGAAGAGTTGGCACAAGTTCCCCAACTTTCCAGCACCTGTCATCACACCTCAAACTTAATATGAAAAGCTGTATCTTGTATCCTGTTACTTGTATCATGTAGACAAGTATTCACTCCAAAAGAGCTCCAACATGTTACAAACAGACTCATCTGCATTTGAACCCAAGTCTCCTGAGCTAATGAAGTATAATCTCACCGAAACACTTCTTTTGATTCTGTAAAAGGCAAACTGACCTATCCTTTATTTCAGGGCTGTCCAACTAGCAAGGACTTAAATTGTGGCACCTGCCCAGCTGCTGATTCTTCCACTGCTCTGGCTGCATAGCAGTCACAATATCCAGGCTCCCAGTCTTTCCTCTGGCTGCTGCTTCCTCCTGCCGGTACCTTAGGAATTTGTGTTAGAAGCTGGTGGCGAGTCTGGGGCAAGCAATACAGCAAAGGGTTGGGGGGAGAGGGGTTCCAAGTGTATGGTGTAGTGGTGGGGTGCCTGTACAGCGATCATGGGCATGCAGTACAGCAGGGGGTAGGCAGGGCACAGACATACAAGTGCACTGCAGGGAAGGGGGTGGGGTATGCCTTGTGGCTCACCCTGGTGCAGCACACAGAGTCTGATGTAGCCCCAGCCTCTTGGAAGCTGGACAGCCCTGCCTTATTTCACAACACAAATACAAAATAAATGCTCAGGACAGCAATAAGTTCTTCTAGACAGTTCTTAACTGACATTTCCCATAACTCTCACAGCCTTCCAGGTTCCATGTTCTTACCAGCAACTCAAGTTTTGGACTGCTCCAATGACTTGTTCATGACCAAACAAACTGCAGGTGATGAGTAACAGAGTACTAAGACCCAGCACAAAAGCCAATTTCAAAAGGAGAACATTAGTACTTGTCACAAAAGCCTGAATCCCCAGTCTAAGGCTTGTCCCTTTACATGGCCAGCCATCACTACAGAGAGAATGCCCACCTGGTGTCTCGTGGCATGCCTATTGTTGTCATCCTGTCTGTGGGCCAGCATCCTCTCTTCAATCTGTTTATCTCGACTCTGTGCTCTCACCTGGAAATTTGAACATAACTAGTATCACAATGAACTGCTCTAAAAGCATATAAGCCTTTTTGATTTCCCTTTTGAATTTCAGATCACAGAATAGGAAGGCCAAGACAGAGATGGAACTGGGACTGGCTTCTCAGATTAAGGACAATAAGAAGTCCTTTTTTAAATACAGAGGGGGTAACAAGAAGGTCCCGGGTAATGTGGGGCCCTTGCAAGATGCGTTGGGTAATTTGGTCGTCACACCAGATGACAAAGCTAACATGTTTAATGATTTCTTTGCCTCCGTCTTCCTAAGTAGGGACCAGAACAGCCACCTCCCTGCTGGGCCCCCCTCGGGCCCCGGGGGTGGCACACCTGGGCCAAGGGTTAGTGAGGATTTAGTTAGGGAGCTTCTGGAGGGGCTGGACGTTTTCAAGTCAGCCAGTCCAGATGATCTCCACCCTAGAGTTCTAAAGGAACTGGCTGAGGTCATTACAAGCCCCCTGGCACAGCTTTACGAGCACTCGTAGTGCTCTGGAGAGGTACCGGAGGACTGGAAGAGGGCCAACGTGGTACCCATCTTCAAAAAAGGGAGGAAGGAGGACCCAGGAAACTATAGGCCAGTTAGTCTTACCTCGATCCTAGGCAAGCTGTTTGAGAAAATTATTCTGGCACACATCCAGGAGGGGCCAGCAGGGGACTGCATGCTTAGGGGCAACCAACACGGGTTCATCAGTGGCAGGTCCTGTCAGACCAACCTGGTGGCCTTTTACGATCAGATCACCAGATCATTAGATGCAGGGGTAGCAGTGGACATAGTC